ATTAGCCGCGCGGTCCTTAAGGAATGCCGAATATGATGGGGAACTCTTTCCATACCACACGGGGGGGGGGCTTTGGAAGGGAAAGTTAATCATATTTTTGTCATTGTTTTATATCTTCTTCAGTTATGTATCAACAATATCATATTTATATATTTTGTTGTGTGTATGTATGTATGTATGTGGTATGTGTTGGTGTAGGTGAAGTTCTGATATACACACTCACACAAACACGCACACACACATATCTATATCTATCTATCTAATATATATTCATATTTATGTATTAGTATTTGCATGTAATATATACATATATACATATATATGGTCATATATAATATATATATATATATATAAAATATATATATATATATATATATATATATATGCGTATATGTAAAAAAAGAGTTAACGCCCACACACACACGCACACATTATATATATAATATATATTTTTATATATATTCTATTTATATATATATTTATATCATTATGTATGTATTTATATGTAATATATATCTATATATATATAATGAATATATATATATATATATACATATCCACTTGTATCATATCTTATATAATGCAATATAATGTATATATCTGTGCATATATATATCCATATATATATGTATATATTGTATATAATGTTGCACACCAACACACACACACACACACACACACAACACACACACACACACACATATATATATTATATATATATATATTTATATATAGATATATATTTTTATAGATATATATGCGTATATGTATAAAAAGAGTTAACGCCCACACACACACGCCACATTCATATATATATTCATATTTATATATATTCATATTTTGTTATATTTTTATATTCATAATGTATGTCTTTTATATGGAATATATATATATATATATATATATCTATATTAGATAGATATATATATATATATTTTATTGTCTTTATAAATTGTATATATATCTAATATATGCATATATATATACTAATGCACATATTATGTCTATTTATATTATATTCATATATATACATATGCATATATTGTATATATATAAATATAATGCCATATGATAGTAAACAGAGTTACACTAGCCGTTCTCTCTCTCTCGTCACACGCACACACATTGTTTCACCCATCGTAGGCAGGGAATAGGGAATTCTCGGAAGAGTGTCCTCGTGGGGGGGGGTGTGGCGGAAGGGTGGAAGGGATCATCCGCAGTTGAACATCCTTTCCTGTGTTATGATCTATGTTGTTTTTGATAAACCGTTCTCCGTTCAGGAAATTTTACGAGATATAGATAGAATGAGACGAGGGAAGACGAGCGAGGGAGAGAGGGAGTGAGTGAGATATCGACCTCACCATCTCAGCGTAGCGCGGATATAGCGTTTAGGAAAGGTGGTGTAACTATTACTCGAATGCCCTTGACTTCGTCCTTTCGAGGAATCTTACTTCTGTTCTTTCCGCTATATATTCTGTTTTGCACGTTCTTTGATTTAGGGCAGGCATTGAGGATAAACATTTGAACATGAAACTGAAGGAAGATAGAGATTGATTATATACAGTGGGGGAATTGGACATTGAGGATAGACATTGAGAGCATTCAGAGAGGAAATGAGAGACAATGACGTGTGAGGAAAGACATTGAAAGACGGCTGTTGAGGAAGAGAGAGAGAATGAGAGGAGAGAGAGAGTGGAGAGGAGAGGAGAGAGAGAGAGAGAGAAAAGAGAAAAGGAGCGAATAGAGGGAAAGAAGAAGAGAGAGATAGAGAGGAAGAAGAGAGAGGGGGAGAGAGAGAGAGAGGGAAGAAAAGAGGGGGGTGGGAAGAGAGAGGAGAGAGAGAGGGGGGTGGGAAGAGAGAGAGAGATAGAGAGAGAGAGAGAGAGAGAGAAAGAAAAGAGAGCAGGTAATAGACGAACCTGCCTGTGGTCGAAGGGGAACTCCCGAGGGACTTTGACTCATGTATTCGTCTGTTACGTCTTGGCCGGTTGCTCGTGATGGCGTAACAGCACGTAATAGAGTAACGAATATCTTTTAAGTAAATATAATAAAAAAGGAGTTTCAGCAGATAAAATATAGAGACCAAAAGACAAAAATATTTCTAGTAAATGGCGTCTCTACCATTATACTGTGTGCAATAATAGGCGCGAATATTCAATGGCAAGTGACCTTAAGAGCGACAGCGCAAGGTTGGCGTTGAAATTCGCGTATCTCCCTGGACAGACTTTTCTATTAAGAGATATTAAGAGTTAAGACTTCCATATCTTAAGTGTAAACTGATTGTCGATGACGTAAGGCTTTTCCCGTTAAAGCAAGGGGAAAAAAAAAACATTTCAGTCGGCGATTGCTCGTTGTTTTTTTTTGATTTTTATAAGCATTGAAAATGCGCGCGCGCCACGACACACACATACACACACGGCGCGCGCGCGCACACATACACATACACACCCGCGCGCGCGCGGCACGACATACACATACACCACGCGCGCGGCGCGCGCAC